ATAACCTTAAATCCGTCGCATTGTCCGTGGGATTGTTTTCACTCATTTTTTACAATTGTTATCCACTAAATTTGAAAATAAAAAATACTATCCTATTAAATTATATGTGTATCAAATCAAACTAAAAAAATATTTTTAGAAAAACAATACTTTTATTATTTTTATGCATGTGAGAACCAAAACAATATGGAAATGAATGAGGGAAAACTGGATCCTACCACGTGATTTCCCGGCCAATAAAAATGTAGCGTTAAACGTTTAACGCAACCATGTTGGAAGTCGCATAAGAAGTATAACATCAAAAAGATATTATCAATTATGTAAAAGCAAAGATAATTCAATGGCTGGACACCTTGAGAGAATGGACGAAAACAGAGGCACTAAGAAGATATTCAAGGGGCAGTGCCAGGGCCAAAGGAAAAGAGGAAGGTTTAATTTAAAATCGAATTAAGTTTAATTTGAAATCGAAAAAATGTGAATGCAATACAGGAGCACCCTGCATGCATTCACGTGGGTCGCGTTCATTTCATCGACAATAAGTAATATTTTCATACTGAGCATGCGCCTAAAAAAATAATTTTTTTAAAATATAATTTTGTTTTGAATCGTGTATTTCACAACTTATGAGAAAAGTCCGATTTGGATATCTTGAAAATACAAAACGTTTCTAGCATTTCTCTAAGTCATTAAAATGTTCAATTGCCATGCGAAGTTATTACTTTACAGATTATCGTTTTTCGAATTTTTTCAACATCGATATTGATTTTGAGTAGAAAACAATAACAAAATAAGTGATAACTCTCAAAGGATAACTCATTTATTGTTTCTCATATTTTTAGTTCAATTTTATTCTCGCGATCTAACTAATATATTAAATATCCCAGCTAAAAATAAACATAAAAATAAAAATTCGGTTGGAAGACTGGTGTTTTGGCCGATTTCGCTACGGAACTTTCGAGGTCGAATAACTACAAAATGAATGCAGTTTGTAAATTGCAGTAATATTAATGTGGAAACAACCTTAAAAATTCTAAAGTAAATATGCTGTTATATTAACTTCGAAAATTCTACTTGTAATATTTAGTTATAAAGAGATTCGAGTCAGGTTGTGGCTCACTTTTGTCGAATGAATAGTTTTTCTGGAGGTGCACTCTATCAAGAGCGATGGAAAATACAAGTCATTTTTGAGTTAAACAACTCTGTGGAGTCGCCTTTTGTGCGTGATTGAGAGTTTAATATTCTAATAGTCCAGGGTCACCGATTGGGTGTGCAGGACGCTCATCATGTGCTAAAGAAATGCAGGAAATAGTGCGGCTCAACACTAACTAACACTAAAACAGTCAAGTTAACACATAACAGTTTGAATACCTACTTTTTTATGGTTAGTAAAATGTTTCGTTGAATATGGAAAAATAACAACTAAAAATTTTTTTTATAACCGTCGTTGAACAGCCGACCCAAACTTTTAATTTACTACCACCAATGTTCAACTTCGTAGCTTTGTAATTTTGAACACAATCCAGAAGACAAGGGAACTCCTGTATCAAGTAATAGGAGAAATTTGTGCCTCCGTGAACCACTTTTTGATGGAATTGACCCTGCGTTATATGGAAAGGAAAACCACGAATACTCCCCACGATTTTTCTGACGGCAAGGCTACTCTAACCCATGATCCGTCTATCACTGATGATATTTTACGACAGCATTGTGGTTCGTGCGAACCAGGCGCGGAATTCGTGTTGACCAGCCGTCGCTGGGATTCAAACCTGAGAAATCTCTTTGGGGGGCGAGAGCTCAGCCTCCATAAATCAATTTAAAAAAATTTTATTTAACCATTTTTCCAAGAAATTTCGAACAGTGTAGAGTAGATAAAACAAGTTATTAAAAGCAGAGTCGCATCTTTTGTGCTGTTCGCCTTAGCTTCTGGATTTTTCGTTCTATTTTTAAGTTTTTAAAGCGAATTTTAAAAAGAAGCAGTTCCATAAAATATATGCTCATTTATATTCAATTGAAAATATTATAAACTATCTTTTTAGATAAAGTTTTGTTTTATTCAAAAAAGCTTTATTTGTATACCTTTTTTTTAAAAGTTTCATTTTAAAAGATTCAATTTTTAACTATAAAAAATACATTTGTTTTAAATTATCTAAATTTATGTAGCACTTTCATCGCGGCAATGACGGGTCCCACTGTCAGCGCTTAGACTTCCTGCGCAGCAATGAAATTTAAACAAATTTTAAATCTTGTTTATTTCACTTTAAAACATAATAATCAATTGCAATTAACCGTATTCACTAGAAATATTAATTAACAGTACGCAATTAACCGTAATGCAACAATAGAGACAGCGAATATTTTGGAAGACCAGTTATCTCGTCCGACTGAAAACTCCCGTGGCAGAATTTTTGTTGGGCTTTCTGTTACAAACCTCTGTAGCACAAATATCTTTCCGCAAGATACTTTTAATAATAACAAATTTACATGTTTCTAAAGTAACAGAAATGCTGTGTTAGTGGAGGAAAAAAAACCTATTTGGATAAAATAAAATTGTATAAATTTTTTTTTTTAAATGAATATAGAATTTTTTTTAAAGTTCTAATATCATGAGCGATATTCTCACATTTTGTAGGAGGAGAACACACGAATTATTTCCTTTTTCGCATTTCGTAAATCATCATCACATTAATAAAAAATAATTTAAAATCGTGAAATCCGTAGCAGATGTGGAAATGTGCAAGATATGTAAAAATGCGCCCTTAATGCTTAAATT